TCATACAAGTTCAGAAGATAACACGTTTGCACGCATTCCAGACCATTTAACCTGTGCGCATGCGTTAAATTATTACTTGTTTTAACGCGTGCTAACCTGCGTTAGGGTATCAAAAATATTTCATGGGCTATATATTAAAAAGGAAATTTTCTTATATATAGCATGATAGAAGGAAGTATGCTCTTCAAAATGAGATGTTTTCCAGAATTTTCTGATGAGTTTTCTTAGAGATATAAGCATAGCCGCAAGTGCCCTGAAAAACAGGGCCCTGTGTACAATATGCATTTTTTCAATAGGCCCTTCACCCCTAGAAAAAATGGTCTGATCGAGCTCAAAATTTTACTACAGATACTTAAAACACTATCTCAGGTTCATTTTCTTTTAAAAGTGTTCTCGACTTCAACTTTTGGCGTGAGAAGGTTTTCAAAATGAAAAACCGATTTTTTATATGTGATTTTCAGTATTTTTAGAATATTTCGGGAAGGAAAGAATATTATTCGAAAAGAAAACAAACGAACCTGAGATAAGCCTGAAGTATTTGTGGTAAAATTTTTGAGTTCGATCGAAACATTTTTTCAAGGGCTCGTAATTTGTGCCAATGAAAACGGGAGTTTTCCAGAAAACCCATAGAAGAACATGTCAGAAAATTCTGGGCAAAAATACATCGATTTTCTTTTTCGATGTTCTATCTCTGGTATAAATCAGAACCCGATCCGATATCGGCTTCCCCAGTTTTAAAGAGGGTAAAAAAAGAGGGGAGGCGTACCCTTAAAAAGTGTGAGGAGCTGGCAGCTTGTTCACGTAACGCGTGACTTCGCTGATTAAGTATTTTGAAAAACAATTTTCGAACTCGATAGATCTGAATACATGACTAGATGCAATTTTCGACGCTAATCACGAATCTAAAATTTATTTTTCGTAAAAGTTGGATTTTAACGCTATAAATCGGGTTTTAAGATTTTCACAAACCGTATTCTGAATTTCTTAACCAAGAAGTTGTTCGAAAGAAAGTTGAATGACATGTCCTTAGATGCAGAATTTAATTCTCTACAAAATGGCTTATTAATTTTTGCGGTTAGTGCCTTTAAATCAGCTGTACATATTTGTACAGTTTCCACCTTTCTGTACAATTTCCGGTCTCCTGAGAGGCTGTAGGAGCCTAATTCTTGTGTAGACTGATTATAATCGATGAATAGTCTAAGCCCTGTTAATATCAAAAGTTTTCGAACGTGCTAAGTGCCCCAAAGGAGGTCTACAAAAAACTGTGTCACTGCGTTACACTTTTCTTTGACATTTTATAACCCAAGGAAAAGAGTAATCAGAAAATTTTTTTAACCATCAGTTAGCTGATTGAAAGAGCTATAAAAACTTCTCTTGGAAGTTTCTTGTTGCTACAGTAATGAGCGAGAAAATCTCCGTTTTATGATCATTGGTTGCGGTTTAGGGATCTTTTTTTGTCACTTGCGTTACGCTCCGTAGAATCTCTCTAACTCCTCAAGAATCAGACCCAACGACTTTATTTTTTCAAAATAAGTAGGGCTTGATGAGCTGCATCGAATGACTCAAGAACGAACTTTCTAAGACTTCTATTTTTCGAGAAAACTTGAAAATACTAGATCAAAAATATCATTGCGTTACGTTTTGACAAGCTGTTGGAGATTACGTACATTTCAAATTTATGTAATTATGTGCGGAGTTTCGGATATAGGTATAGCCACTTGTTTTATTAAAAGTGTGGGGAAGTTTGGAAAGTAACGGATATTTTTATTCATCTTTTACGCTCTCTCTTATTGTTGTTTCCTCATACTTGTTGTTTTAGCAATTAATAATGTTCTTGCCATTGATTCCGAATCATTTTATGTTACAACATTCCGTAAATATAGACACGATCAATCACCATTTCTTTATAATATAGAATTTCTTACAAAACGACGTTGGACAAACGTTTTATTTTGTTCAAAAAAACTTAAAACAACACAAATATCATCATGGAATTGTACTGTGGTAATAGTTTTGTAATGTTCAATTTTTTCTTCTTCTTCTGATCTCTAGTATTCATAGATTATTATAATAAATTATTTAATTAATTTAGGTTGCTGATTCAATTGGAATGGCAAATGGAATTTATTCATCGTCTAATATGGAATTAATCTATGTTGCAGCTAGTCTAGAGAAAAAAGTATTCAAAAAAAGTTTTGAAAAATATCATATCAAATTTTTCTATCGTCTTCTTTTTATTTTTATCATTTTAGATTCATGTTTATAAACGTGATACAAAAAATAATTCTTTAAAATTATTACATTCATTGAATATACCAGGCTTTCCTGATAATTTATTTATTAATGATCAAGATCAATTACTTATAGGCGGACATCCAAAATCATTCTTATTTCTTCTTCATTCATTAAATTCTCATAAATATCAAGCACCATCACAAGTTTTACTATATCGAGAACCGGAAAAAAGTACGTATATCTTTGTTATACAAGAAATTCATTCTTAGAGGATGTTCAACTTTTTCGTAGAGAAGAGACATAGTGGAAAAAGGAGAAAAGTGATTGTGAATATTCAAAGAGCATTCTGAAAGTCGAAACGTTTTTCATCAGTCGAAGAAAAAAACCCTTTTTGAAAAAGTATGAAATTTAAAAAAAATAAATCGAGATAAAAATTCAATAATGTATGGTATATATATATATATAGGACTGAATTACACTAGGCTACAAGAGAAAAATTTCATGAGCGATTTGGAATCGTATTGTACCGTTTTGAAAAAAACAAATTTTTTTGTTGCGAATTAGAAAAAATGTAAATCGTACATTTTGTTGTACTAGCAAGGGACCTTTTCCAACTGTCCAATCGCTTTGTGGTCGAAACCTAGTGGGTTGTAGGTTATCGACCACACTGATTTCAAATATCCATATGAGACGGGTCGCTACACCTTCCTAGAGCGGTTTTCTGGAAAACGGCTTTCCTAGAAACCTCGAAAAGTCTCTAAAACTTTTCTTTACTGGGCAACGGTTTTTGACACAAATGTAAGACTGTCAATGCAGCTATATAGAATTTCATAATAAAAATTTTTGTTGCTTTAATATAGTGAGAAGAATAGGTATTTTTATCAATAGTTTATATTTATACTATTCTGACACGAGAATGCGAAAGTCGTTTGATGACATTACGTGACTAGTGGATTCGTAATGTTTGGCTATAGCTGATTTTGCTACAAGTTTCTGTTTAGGAGGATCAACGAGCTTTGTTTGAGTAGCTAAGATTTCGTCTAATAGATCATTCTCCAAATTTTTAACTGCTATAGGAAGTTTACCAGTTTGTGATCTTGTTATAGATCCTGATTTAGGTTTTTTAGATGAAGTTTGTGGTTTATATGATTTTGAAATTGATTCTCTTAATAGATTACGATTGTAGTCCACGAAATTCTGATCAAATGAGACATCTCTCACCTCTACATGACTTTTCTTTGCAAATTTATAGAATTTACAAGAAAAGCCCTAAATGTTCATTGTCAGCTCAAAGCTACAGAAATAAGAACTTAATTTAGAGTTTTTCTTATAAATTCTATAACTTTGCAAGAGTCATATGCAAGTCATATAGAGGTGGAAGATGTCTCATTTTGAGAAGAATTTCATGGGCTACAATCATGATCTATTAAGAGAAAGTTTTAGAGGCTTTTCGAGGTTTCTGGAAAATTGGTTTTCCAGAAAAATGCTCTAGGATGATCTAGGAGCCCGTCTGATATGGATATTCGGAATCAGCGTAGTCGATAACCTATAATCCACTAGGTTTCGACCAGATAGCGATTAGACAGTTGGAAAAGGTCCCTCGTAAGTGTGAGAAGTCTTTGGAAAAAAAGACTCCCAACTACCACTTTTATAGTGGCAGAAAAATCACTTTTTTTCACCATAGAATCTCTGAGCGTATAGTCTTAAAAACTCGCTATTATTGACTGAAACGGATAAGTGTCATATACTATTCGATAGGCCGGTTTGATGGTATATGCGTGGAAATGTGTACGCACATATGCCACCAAATGATTTTATTTTCACAAAATTGTTGTATACAAGTCGTCTTATAGTTAGAAACCATCTTATTTCTAAAAAACTATGAATTTCTACGTAACTCGATGCGTACTACAAAATTAGCATAGTGTAAGTTTGCTGGCTTGAAGTCCGTGTAAATCTGAAAGATATCCTGTGTGAAAATTAGAGACCTGCATGTTTACTTTTTTTTCTTCATATCCATCATTTTGCCTATGGAATGTTTGCGTTTTTTAGACAAGTTTTATGTATAAAAATTTAGTTATATGAAGCAACAGAGAATTTGAGTCAGAAGTTGGCAATTATTTTTTACAATTATCACATTAAACGAAATTTTGAAGAACTGTATCATGACATATGAGAGAAAATATTTTCCAAGCTTGACTTCGATAAGTGAAAAAGATATTTATTTATTTTTTCCGATGAAACAAGAATAATAATAGACTATATACACGTAAAACACCGAGATAAACACGTTTATCTTTTTCTAGTGTAGTAAAAATATGTGCTAAGAGAAGCAAAAAAAAGAAGAAAACAGATATATACTACAGTTTGCAGTATAAAGTTTATATACGAAGATTTTTGTGATTTGCAGACGGTTTTGTCAGTAGTTGTAAACACCATTTTAGTAGTTGTAAACACAATTTTCAGTAGCTGTAAACTTTCGGGGCGAAATTATGATCAAATTTCAAAATAAATTTGGTGTGTACAGTTACTGAATTGTGTGTTTACAGCTACTGAATGGACTAGTAGCAGACAGTGTATTATTGATCTGATGTTGTTGGACACAAGTTTTAAAAATTGTTATCATATCTCTTTTAGTGTTATATTAGACGTTAATAATTTTATTACGATCTTAATAATTTTTATATATTAGTGTTATAGAAATCTAATCGAGTTTTTATTGTAGTGAAAAACAGAGCGGTACGAAAATATCTTGTAACTAGAGTGAAACAAATGCAAATGAATCTAAATAGGCTTGTGCTGGATTATTTGCAATTATTTTTGCATTATTGCTTAGATCAAATGTGACAATGTTTTGTTTGTCTAGACTCTCGACAATCATTGTATAATAATATCCTTCATAACAAGTACCAGTCGATGGCATATAATCTTTAAAATCTTTGGATATAATATCCATCGTACCATTATATGGATTTAAACGTACTAAACGACAGCCACGTACTCTCTCGAAAATCTCCATACCATAAAAAGCATTCGTTTTATTATCATAACATAAATAAGCTGGTAAATTTGAATTGGTTATTTCACTGATTATTTTTCGATTGGTGATATTAATACCAACAAGATAATCGGAATCCCTATAGGGCACTGTTATAAAATATTGATGATTCGTTGAATTAAAAAAGATTGCCATAGAATCAGGTTGTACACCACTAGCTTTGGTTATATTTACCCATCGTTCCGCTATAAAAGTACTTGGATCTATCTGAACGATACTTGTCGGATTTTCAAATACGCCATTCATTTGTACTGAGTATAATTTTCCTGTACTACTATCAACACGTAAACCAGATATGTCGGCATAACGTTCTATCGTAATTGTTCGATATTTTGTTGTGCCGTTGAATGGATTAACTATGGCCACTGACAATGCTGCTTCATTTTCTAACGTTACTTTACTACCAAAAACATAGAAAATTTTATGAATAAAATCATAAGTAACATCGTATGCTCTGTAATTCGTTAAAGGTGTGAGAACTGTAAAATTTCCGCTTAATGGATCAATTTTGAATAATGAGTTCGATGATGCTGCAGGATCATACGATGCTCCTAGTAAATACCCGTTTGGAACTGTTTGTAGGGGATTGATAGCATTGAAGATGACGTAAAAGTATAGGAATGAACAGCGTAAAGGAATCATTGATCTAAAACTCAACATTACTAATCAGACTGATTGCAAGAAGAAACATTCTATGTTTTACATAGAACAGTGGACTTGAGAACAAATTGATTCATTTAGAAAAAAAAGTCGCGACGAAAAACGTTTGATGTTCATTTATGAAGAAACTCAATTCTCAACTAAATTTAATGTAATAAAGAAAAAGAAAGATGATGTTGTGTTTAATAACTGATAACAGTAAAATGAATATGCTTTAGATGAAAAAGAAACAACAGAAATTTTGCGATATTTTGTCATTTATCTCATTTTTGAAAGAACTTTAGTATCAAAGTAACACTCACTAGCTTTTTTTTGACTGGTGAGCTCGAAATTCTTTCATAATGAATCTTTTTGATTCCTTTATTTTCTATATTGTGGTAGTAAACGCAGACTCCACAGATATATAAAAGTTTTATAGATTACACGAATGACTGTAGATGTCGGTTAGAATTAAGCTGTAAGTATTTGATTCGTCTCTCACATATATTCACATCCCCAAGTTGATTTCTGTGTGTGTGTTAGTCCTTTTATTAGATTCAAAATCATGATTGTAGGAAACTAGACAACGAGTCCCGATTTTCAATCTCTTTCGCGTTCGTGTTTCAGTTCACTTTCAGGATTTTGTGTTCAGCAGTTGCGTTAGACGATTCAGGTAGCATTGCTGTCTTTCTCTCAGAGATGGATTCACCCACTGATGAACATATCTATTGAATCTCCCTCGTGGCAAAGCATCGATGAACGGTTCTTCGACGTACATTTGCAGATACATAGGCATGGCTTTGCTGAGAATGTAATCTTCGAAGAGTTCCAATGACACAATCATAGCTTTGTCGATGAATCATCGAAGGAAGCGTTGTGCTTTCGATTCTGCTGTCTCGTAGTTTGGTAGCCATCACACTTCGTCATTGGTTGCATCCCAACAATTGTGAATGAGACGACACAACTGTCTCGTCAGGCAGAAAACTGTCTTCAAGCTCTACTCATTAATTAGCCTGAGCTTTAATTAAAAAGTTAAACGCTGAGAAATTTTCAAATGTTTCCGATTACCCCGATTACATTTGGGGCAATTGGAAACGTACGTGAAAGTTAGTGGGGTAAATGGAAACGATCATGTAAAATGGCTGGAAAGCTAGAAGTTTCTTGGAAATCAGTTTCTACTCGAAAAACACCTCTCACAAAAAAGTTGCGCTTATAAAAAGATGCAGGATATTCTTCTCTACAATCCCAGAGAAACTCTCACTCGTTTTCATTCAGAACTAACGAAATAAGCATGTTACACGAGAAAGTTGGTAGGCTATCTCGAGAATCACTGAACAAAACTTTATGAAAATTGGCGTCTAAGGGTTTCTGAACGTCCTCTTTCTTTTCTTCTCTAGAAAGTTTTCTCTAAAACTCTCAGAAGTAGGGTTTCTAGAAAGCCGTGGTTTTTGGGCTACTTGTACTTCTTAAAACGATTTTTAAAAATCAGTCTTAAGACATGAAATATTTTTAATGATATATTTGAATTCATCGTCGAAAGGCGAACATTTTGAGAAAAAAATCAAGTCTTCAACTCAAAATTTCAGTTTTTGAGTTTAGTTTGACATTTAAAAAATTCAACCTTTTTTAAAATTGAAATAGCTCAGTTCAGGTAAGCGGATGAAACCTTGGTTCAAACGCGGTTGGATAGAGAATTAAAATCTGAATAAACGTAGTGGTTTGGCGAGATTCCAATATTAGTTTAAATTTTATTTATCACTTCGAGAAAAAAAGTAGAAATGAATATTAGGCAGTTTCACTTCAGATGCACACAAAATCGGCGAACCATTATATTGCTGTGCATAAGAAAAGTGCTTGCTAGAACAGATAATACAATGTGTAGAGAGGAGAAGAAAAACAGAAAAAATAAACAATAAAAGAAGAGAAGAGAGGAAGGAGAAGAAAGAGGAAAAGTATGTTAGAAGATGTTTTAGTATGTGACGTTATGATACGGGTTAGTGGTCTGTTGTTTCAAAACGTTTAGTGGTTTCGTGAAAGTAATAACTGAACGATATATCTGTGTGTAATTATCTTTGTCTAGCGGAATCGAAAGTGTCAGAAGGGACAGGATCGGTGATCCCTTGTGTAATAAATTCCTTAGGTTTTTGTAGAGTTTGGATAGAGCGGTTGGATAGAGAATTAAAATCTGAACAAACGTAGTGGTTTGGCGAGATTCCAGTAGTAAATCGTGATCATGGTTCTTTAGGAGATCTCTAGAAAGTCTCTTTCTAATTTCACTTTATTTTCTCTATTCTTTAAATTTAAACTTTAACACTGAACTTTTTCGATTTATTTGATAAAGGTCAAAAACGCAATATAAGAGGAAATTTGTTTCATTTTCTTCTTCAAATTTGTTTCTTTAAAAATATGAAAAAGTAAATCAAATACATTATTAAAAGCCTGTGTAACCCTCTCAGGATATTTTTAAAAATTTCGCTAAAGAAGTTTGA